CCCCCACCCAGTCAGCCTCACGACCTGTAACATGGGGGTCGGAATATTTTCTCATATTTTTACCTTATGGTCCCTTTAAAAATGTACTATAAGAACCCCCAAAACCCTATTCTAATTTCTAATATCAACGAATATTATTCCCTTATGGTCACTTTATATAAGAACCCCCCAAAAACCCTATTCTAATGACTCATACTAAAGAAGGTTATTCCCTTATGCAAAACCCTATTACTCATATTGACGAATGTGATTCCCTTATGGCCCCTTTGTAATTATACAATAAGAGCCCCAAAACCTTATTCTAATTACTCATATTATTCCCTTATGGTCCCTTTGTACTTATACTATAAGAACCCCCAAAACCCTATTCTAATTCTTAAGGCCCTATCCCTCAGGGTCCATGTGCCTATAGAGTATATACCTGGGCATAAAAGGGCTTCCCGTATGGTAGCTCTAGGGCCCAAGCATATACTATATGGCTACATGGACCCTTACTTGGAGGTTCATGGTACTTATTAACCCCCCTTACTTGGAGGTTCATGGTACTTATTAACCAATTAGAACTGTACTTATAACCCACTTATCAGCCCCTTGAGTGCCCTGAGATGGTTAAAGTACAGTTATAAGTACAGTTGTAATCAGTTCCTAAGTACCATGAACCTCCAAGTAGGGAACCCTAAACCCTAAACCCTAAGCCCTAAACCCTAAACCCTAAACCCTGTAAGCCCGGCACCCCACCACCGACATGCATCGACTGAAGAAGAGCTTGGAAAACCAAGTCTATGATTTTTTTGCGCTTTAGGGCGAATAGGGTTTAGGGTTTAGGGTTCAGGGTTTAGGGTTTAGGGCGAATAGGGTTTAGGCTTTAGGGCGAATAGGGTTTAGGGTGTAGGGTTTCGGGTTTAGGGCGAAGAGGGTTTAGGGTGTTAGGGTGTTAGGGTTTTAGGCTTTTAGGCTTTTAGGGTTTTGGGGTTTTAGGGGTTTTAGGGTGTTAGGGTTTTAGAGTTTTAAGGGTTTTAGGGTTTTATCGTTTTAGGATGCTGCTTTTGACATTCAGGTTGCAGGCCTTGTGAAGTGTGCAGAAGCCTCCCTAGCAGTGTTCACGGGCATGGGGCTGGCGTCTCATATGTTACACTGAGAGGCACCCATGTTCTTCGAGTTTGGGGTTTAGGGTTTGGGGTTTGGGGTTTAGGCACGTGCACTCAAGCAGATAACCCTAAACCCTAAACCCTAAACCCTAAACCCCAAACCCTAAACCCTAAACCCTAAACCCAAAAACCTCCAAGTAGAGCATCCTTTCAGCGAGCCCAGGCATTCCAAGGTGGACCGGCTAGCCGAAGGCTCATGCCTTAGGGTTTAGGGTTTAGGGTTTAGGGTTTAGGGATACTTGGAGGTTCATGGTACTTATGAACCAATGATAACTGTATTTATAACTGTACATATTATAAGCGTATTAGGACACCTAAAGGGACTTGCAAGTGGGTTAAAAGTACTGGTATAGTTGGTCAATAAGTGCCATGAACCTCCAAGTGCTGCTGGGAGGGGTCTTTGTTTCGGGTGCTTGTAAAGCTTTGGCTTCAGGAATGCAAGAGACCTGCCGTTCTTTTGTGCTTATCTGAGGGGATTCGGAGATACTTGTCTACAAATAGGGGGGGAGACCCTCAATTTCACTAGGTTTTGGGTTTAGGGTTTAGGGTTTAGGGTTGCAGGGCTGTTGCGTGCATGGTGTTTGGGGCTGAAAAGAGCTCTGCATGATGGCATGACCGGTAGAGCCAAGAAAGGTAAACCGCAAAAACTGCAAGCAGCCAGTGCGTGCCAATCCCAAACCCTGAACCCTAATCCCAGTACCTGTCAGAAAACTAAGGCGCAAGCACCTGCCAGGAGAGTAAGACGCAAGCAGCCCTTGCATGCCAATCCTAAAACCCTACGACCTAAACCCTATAAACCCGAATCCCAGTACCTGTCAGCAAAGCAAAACGCAAGCAGCCATTACATGCCAATCCTAAAACCCTCCCCGAGCCCTAAACCCTGGACCCTAAACCCCAAACCCGCAACCCTCAACCCTAAACCCTAGCCCTAAACCCGAAACCCTAAACCCTAAACCCGAAACCCTAGCCCTAAACCCTAAACCCTAAACCCGAAACCCGAAACCCTAAACCTAATCCTTAAACCCTAGCCCTAAACCCTAAACCCTAAACCCTAAACCCAGCACCTTAAACTCTAGCCGACTCTAGCTCTTACACACCCTCAACAAGTTCCTGCCCTAAACCTAAACTACATAGCCTCTAACCCTAAACCCTAAACCCTCTAACCCTAAACCCCAAACCCTGAATTTCTAAAGCCCCCCCCCCCTCCCAAAAAAAAAAAAGATGGATCAAGACACGAACTAAAGGCTCCATCTCCAAAGTACCCCTTCAATTAAACCCTGAACCCGAAACCCTAAACCCCAAAACCCTGAAACACTGAAACCCTACAGCCTTAAAGCTCTCAACCCCTCAACCCTAAAACCGTAAACCCTAAAACCCTAACACCCTAAAACCCTAGCAGCCTAAGACCCCAAAATCCTAACACGCTAACACCCTAACACCCTATCACCCTAAACCCTCAAACCCTAATCCCTAAACCCCAAAATTCGAGAACCCCTAAACCCTAGAACCCCTAAACCCTAAACCCTTAACCTTAAGTGTTCTCGGCTCCTTCCCGCACGCGTGGGAAGGCTTGAGAGAGCTCTACAAGTTCCTTGCCCTGGCTTTCCTAGGGTTTCGGGTTTAGGGTTCAGGGTTTAGGGGCGTAGGGTTTCGGGTTTAGGGTTTAGGGTTTAGGGCTACTCTACACCCCCCTCCCCCTTCAAACCCCATACGCCTACATGAACTCCATGAGGCCTATCAGCCCTCTGAGGTTCAGGGTTCAGGGTTTAGGGTTCAGGGCGTAGGGTTTCGGGTTTAGGGTTCAGGGTCTAGGGTTGCATTTGCCGAGTCCCTACCCCCCAAAAAACTAAAAGCAGGGCTCATGTTTGCGTACGCATTTAGGGGAAACTCGTTGGATTTGACATTAGGGCTCAGGGCGTAGAGTCTGGAGCCTGCAGGCGACGGGTTCGAGCTGGTAGGACACTTTACAGGCATGTGAGGGTCCATGCAAGCCTGCGGCCCTCAGACCAAACCCTTAGAGAGCTTAGGGTTTAGGGTCTAGGGTTTAGGGTTTAGGGTTTAGGGTTTAGGGTTTAGGGGTGAATTACATAGGGTACCTAATTGTTTCATTCCCTACCAAGAACAAGTAGGATAACTCTTCAGCAGTGTTTCAGGGACTTTAGGCCACGGCCGCCACAGCCTGGCAAGTACATGCCCTACTAAAGTGGATCTCCCGAGACAAGAATACCCTAAACCCTAAACCCTAAACCCTAACCCCGAAACCCTTGCTTTTCCTTGATGCCCAAATGAACCCCGAACCCTGTCCATACCCTAAACCGTGATATCCCGAAAGCAAAAAGCCAAGAAACGAACAACAAACTAAGCACAAACCCGCTGGAAGCCCCCAACAACTTGGAAAGCCCTACGCCCCAAACCCTTGCTCGAAGGCTTTTGGGTCGTGTTGGGTGGCGATATGAGAAGAGCAACTAGAACTATCTGATGGCCTTGTTGGGATCACATTTTCGTACGTGCTTATATGACCCAGGAACCAAGAAGCACTTCCTGCAAAGGCCCCAAACGCGAAACTGCTACACCCTAAACCCTAGGCCCTAAACCCCCAAACCCTAAACCCCCAAACCCCAAAACCCCAAACCCTAAACCTTAATCCATAAACTCCGACGCCGGACGGTCCCTCCCCCCTGAGGCGTGGGGAGTTCACCGACGTGGCGTTGGCCCTGCCGACGTCACCTTAAAAGCCGGGTTTTGGAGTACTTTTACCGTTAGTACTTGTTTAGGGTTTAGGGTTAGGGTTTAGGGTTTAGGGTTTAGGGTTTAGGGTTTAGGGTTTAACTGGGTTTTGGAGTACTTGTTGCGTTAATACTCGTTTTGGTTCTAGGTTCCCATTAGAGCTGCTTGTACCTGGGGAGTATATACCTTTTTTTGTTCAGGGTCTACTTGAAAGTAGGGTTTAGGGCTTAGGGTTTAGGGTTTAGGGTTTAGGGTTCAGGGTCTACTTGAAAGTAGGGTAACTTAAGTCGGCATCCATCGGTTTAGGGTTTCGGGTCTTTCGGGGTTTGGAGGGTTTAGGGTTTAGGATTTAGGGTTTGGGGTTTAGACGTTTTTGTTGGCAGAGCCCACCACTGAACTCGGAACACTAAATCTCTGAATATGACCTGAAGCTCTGTTTGGCTCACTGAGGGGGTTTGGTGTTTAGGGTTGAGGGTTTAGGGTTTGCACAAGGACTGGAACCCCACCCTGTAAACCACAAACCCTACAGACCCCGTAACGGCCTGAACTATGACAGCTTCACTTTCGCGGTTGGTTAGGGTGTCGGGTTTAGGGTTTTAGGGGTTAGGGCTTAGGGGTTTAGGGATTTAGGGGTTAATTGGGGGTTTAGGAGCTTGGGGATTAGGGGTTCAGGGGTTTAGGGATTAAGGGGTTTAGGGCTTAGGGTTTTGGGTTTTAGGAGTTTTGCGGCTTTGGGGCTTAGGGGCTTCGGCGTTTAGGGTTCAAAAGCCTCCCCACAGAGCAGCCCCCGATCAGAGGTGGAAGGGGTTGTTGCCGGGGCCATTTACCCGAAAACCGTACACCCTCAATCCCAAACCCTAAACCCTTAGCCCTAAACCCTAAACCCTGTACCCTAAACCCTAAACCTAAGATAGGTTTCCTTCGAACATCCGTGGCTCTAAAGACACTCGCTTTCAGGATGCCCCCTAATCGTGACAACCTCTTTCTTTGGGTTTACCTAAGGGCTCCTATGTAGTTCCTTTTTGGGCTAGTATACTAGAACCTCCTATAAGTAACCCAAAAAGGAAATACATTAGAGCCTCCAGGTATGGTTTAGAGTCACCCTAGACCTTGTTCCCCTCTGCCATGGCCGCTGGCGACGCCGGAGCCAAAGAGAATGTGGAAATCCACATGCCCCTTGCCTTGCCAAACCACTAAAAGCCCTACACCCCTAAGCCCGACAACCTTTCAAGCCCCTAGCAACCCTGAACCCCTAGAAGCCCTAAACCCTCCTAAACCCTAAACCCTAAACCCTAAACCCTAAACCCTAAACCCTAAACCCTAAACCCTAAACCAAGCCCTAAAGCCCAGAAAGCCTTAAACCCCCTACAGACCCGCACGCCCCCAACCCTAAAGCCCCTTCAAGCACCAAAGACCCTAAAGACCCTGAAGACCCAGAAAAGCCCTGAAGCCCTGAAAGCCCTAAAGTTTAGGGTTTAGGGTTTAGGGCTTAGGGCTTAGGGCTTAGGGCTTAGGGGTTTAGGGCCTAAACCCTTAAAGAAACCCCTAAAAGCCCAAAGGACCCCAAACGCCCTCAAGGCCCGGTTGATGGTCCAGGGGCGGCCTAGGCTTGAAGTTTTTAGACCCCCAGCCTTAAACCTACTGGCCTGCTGGTCCTTAGGGTGTAGGGTTTAAGGTCTAGTTTTAGGGGAAGGAGGGAATGAGGTAGCTCTTATTATTTCTTGAATAGGGTACATGTTGGGGGATTTAGGGCACTTAACTCCACTGAGAACCGGTAGGTAAAGCCTAAACTTAAACCCTAAACCCTGAATGGACCCCGTTAACCACAAAACGGGCTGAGGGTTGAAGGTCGATGGCTTGCTCTGTCGTGCTTAAGACGTTTCCCCTCATTGAGTTTGGGAGGATCTTCTTATTGGGGATTATGGGTTGGCTAGTGTTCAGTGTCTAGGGTTTAGGCATTTAGGGTTGAGGTTATCTCCCACAAAACTTGCAGGCCTTAGCATTCAGGTGCCCGTAGCCTATAGTATACCCCAAGAGCATTGTACTGCTCACCATTGCCCCCCCCCCCCCCCCAAAAAAAAAAAAAAAAAAAAAGAAAAAGAGAGAGAGAGAGAGAGAGCAAATCCCCAGGGCTTGACTTAAGGGTTCAGGCCTTGAGGTTGATGATTTACAGTTGTTTCGGCTTCAGGGGTTCAGGGTTTGGGCCAAAACCTGAATCCCTGGGCCCCGTACCCCATGCGGCCCCACATCCCCGAGTTTCTGAACTGGCCGGTCGGATCTCTAAATGCCCAGTTCTCGGATGCTATTGGTAGCCCAGTGGTGCCCTTTTCCCTTTTTTTTGTTATGGCTCCGCTTTTAAAGTCACCAACCCCAAAAAGGGTGCCCTTGTTATCATATGGTTGCTGGGCTACCAAGTGCTCCAAACCGTCTCAAGTCTACAAACACTCTTGGTGGCGGCTTTCGGACGAAAGTTGCTATCGGGTTTGTTGGAAGGGGGGTTTAGGATTTAGGGTTTATAGGGTCTATGGCGTTTATAGGGTTTAGGGTTTGGGGTTTAAGCGTCCTTTGGCCTACAGCCGGACACCTCTCAGCAGGTTTCGGCCGAACCTGGACAGCCTGCCGGACGTCCAGACCCCTCCGGGCTTTTCGCTGCGGCAGGCGGGTTTCGGCAGGTTTGCTTAAAATCCTAGACCCCACAAATCCTAAACTCCTACACCCTAAATCCCTAAAATCCTAAACCCATAGACCCTAAAGCCTAAACCCTTGAAGCCCTAACCCTAAATACCTGGGCCCCTGATCCCCTATATCCCACAACTCACGCAGCACGAGGGCTGCGAAGCACTAAAACAGCCATGTTGTCCAAAGACTTGACCTGCAGTTCGCACTCTGCACCCTCAATATCTGGTTAGGGTTTAGGGTTTAGGAGGGTTTAGGGTTTAGGGTTTACCCTGAACCCTCAATATCTTGAATATCTACCCTCAGTACCTTAAATACCCTGAAATACCCTAACAAGTCCCTGAAATACCCTAAAATGCCCCAGGTTTACGGTTTAGGGTTGGGGTTTAGGGTTTAGGGTTTAGGGTTTAGGGTTTAGGGTTTAGGGTTTAGGGTTTAGGGTTTAGGGTTTAGGGTTTAGGGTTTAGGGTTTAGGGTTTAGGGTTTAGGGCTTCGGCGTGAACGGAAAGATCGAAGCAAGGGGCCCGATCCAGCTGCCTGGGTGGCCATCCAGTTCCTCGGCCGGAACTTGGCGGGTTTAGGGTTTCGGGTTTAGGTTTTAGGGTTTAGGGTTTAGGATTTGGGGTTTGGTGTTTGGGGTTTAGGATGGCCCCTAGTTCAGGTACATTCCCTAAACCCGAAGCCCCAAACCCCAGGAAAGTAACTATCCTGCCCAGGGTGCAGAGCCTCCTGGCTATCGGCCTTGAGGAGTTAGGGTGTGCGGGTTTCACTCCTTTTTCGGGTTTGAGTCAGTAAACCTCAGAGTTTTAGGGTTTAGGGTTTAGGGTTTCCGATTAGAGTTTCAGGGTTTGGGTTTTGCACAGGGGCATCGGGTTCTTTAAGCGCTTTAGGGCTTGCACGGTTTTACGGTCTTAGTGTGTGAGGCTTTAGTGTTTAGGGTTTAGGTTTAGGGCCTGGTCTCCTAATGAATCCTTGCTGTGCTCCTGTTTTATGCTTATTTTGTGGTGGCGGGGGGGGGGGGGGGGGGGGGGGGTGTAGTGAAGGTGTAACATCCCTCAGCCATATATATATATATATCCTAAACCCTAAACTCTGAAAGGGAGCCTGGCCTAATAATCCGTGTCCTAGAGAAGCTCGTGCAATCACAAGACGTCGTTGGCTTTGATCCCCGGTATGCCCCGAAAATCAAGCATTCTGCATGTCTTCCATGCTAGTATCAAATCGTTGAACATTAGGCTTTTATAAGGGTTTCAGGGTTTAGGGTTTAGGAACCCTGAACCCTAAACCCTAAACCCTGACCCTAAACCCTAAACCCTAAACCCTAAACCCTAAACCCTAAACCCTAAACCCTAAACCCTAAACCCTAAACCCTAAACCCTAAACCCTAAACCCTAAACCCTAGGCAGGCTGCCGAGCCATTCTTGAACATCAGCTTGGATGGGACGCAGGACAAGCCTCTTCATTTCTGGGGATGAGGGTTTCGTTTAGGGTTTAGGGTTTAGGGTTTAGGGTTCAGGGTTCAGGGTTTAGGGTTTAGGGTTTAGGGTTTAGGGACCTCAGGATAGCACTCCAACAGCCTCGAGCCCGAACACCCTAACGTCTCAAGCCCGACGCGACAAACGCTCTGTTCCATGGCCCGGCGTCCTCACGTCACCGAGTCTTACCTGGGTTCTTCCGGGCTTGGTGTTTCATACTTGTAGATTTAACATATTCCCCTAAGGGTCCATGTACCCATATAGTATATAGTTGGGCCCTAAAGCTACTTTATGGGAACCCCTTTAAGGCCCAAGTATATACTATATATGTACATGGACCCTTAGGGTTCCAAAATCATCAAGCACATTGAACGTCTTATAGTTTTGGAGGTCCTTGGGACAGTGTGGATTTCGTGAGCCGTGGCGCGACGGCACCGATAGCGAGCTGTGAGGAACGATTGCAAGCCCGTAGCGTGTCCGTGGACCTTTATAGCGTATATTTGGGCCCTTTGGCTTTTTAGGGTTTAGGGTTTAGGGTTTAGGGTTTAGGGTTTAGGGTTTAGGGTTTAGGGCAGAGGGTTTAGCGTGTAGGGGAACCCTTTGAAGGCTGAAGTATATACTAACAAGGTACATGGGACCCTTAGGGATGTAGACAGCTGTTTCCGCTGGGCTTTTTTTCCCCACGATCTCTAGCTACCTGAGTACGCATATATAAGGGAGGGCCTATGGGCTAGGCAAATGGCAGACAACTCCTAAACCCCAAACCCTGAACCCTGAACCCTGAACCCTGAGCCCTGAGCCCTGAACCCTGAACCCTACCGATAGCCCAAAACCCTTAAAACCTTAGTTCCTAGAAACCCTCCCTGTCAGGAGGGCGCTTGGCAACACGAGTTCATTCCCGGCGAGGGAAACTTGCGTCTTGCCGACTGTCGGGATGACTTCAGGTGAGGTTGAGGGCCTAGGGGTTTAGGGTCTAGGGTTTAGGGTTTAGGGTTTAGGGTTTAGGGTTTAGGGTTTAGGGTTAGGAGTTGGGGTTGGGTTTAGGTTTTGGGCGGCTCTAGGGAGCAGCTGGCCCTATGGTTATATATATGCACATAAACTTAAAGGTGTATTGCTCCCATCTCACCTTAAGGGCACTGGCACATATTCCTGAGTCCTCAACCTTAAACCATGGTTTAGGGTTTAGGGTTTGGGGTTTAGGGTTTAGGGTTTAGGGCTAGACCCTAAAAAAATTGTACTCGACTTTGGGCGGATGGGGGGTGGCGACGATGTCGGCATCCAGCGTTGGCATGGAGGGTTTTACCAGCCTGTCTCAGGGCTCAGGGCTGCTTCTAATCAAACAGGGTTTCGGGTTTAGGGTTCAGGGTTTGGGGTTTAGGGTTTAGAGTTCAGGGTTTGGGTTTAGTGTTCAGGGCTTAGGGTTTTTGTTGGGTTTTCTTGGTCTAGGAGTTAGGGGATGGCGCTGAACGATGGAGGGCGCTTTTCACCTGGCCAGGCCAGGGCAGTCACGATTGGCCAATTGCTTGAAACCCTAAAACTCTGAACTCTGAACTCCGAACCCTAGCCAAGGCCCCTTTGCGGAGAAGATGGGAAGCCGATTTCTTTGGAGGATGCTTTGAGACTCTTGCCGAAGGCGATTCGGAGCATTTTCCCCTAAACCCTAAACCCTAAACCCTAAACCCTAAACCCTAAACGCTTGTGATGTTCTTGCGGCCTATGCGGCTTGAACCCCGAAACTTAACTAGAAAGAAGCACTACGTCTGATCTCCCCTACTTGGAGGTCCGGCGTACTTGTAACATACTGACCACTGGTTTAGGGTTTAGGGTTTAGGGTTTAGGGTTTAGGGTTTAGCGGTTGATGACTTCAGTTACTGGCCCCACTTCATTGTAAGTCCCTGAAGTACCGTCACCTAGGCAATACCTGGGGTGACAAGTCAAGTTATATGTACCTCGGGCCTCCAAGGCGGATACCTGCACCCTCAACCCCCGTCCCCCCACTCCCCTCTCAAAAAAACAAGAAACAAACAACAAAAAGGTTTGGGATTTAGGGGTTGGGGTTTAGGGTTTAGGGTAAGCCCTAAACCCTAAACCCTAAACCCTAAACCCTAAACCCTAAACCCTAAACCCTAAACCCTATAAAGGGGGGGAGCCCAGAAGACCTACCATTCCTGAGGACATCAGTTCTTCATCGTCGAGGAGTCCACGGGACGAGCCGTCGGAACGGCCACGGCGTGGCTGACAAAGCATCATGCGGCCACGCGGGCTGGTGAAGCTGTGGACTCTCCAGGGTTTAGGGTTTAGGGTTTAGGGTTTAGGGTTTAGGGTCCTAACCCCTGAAACCCCAATATGCCCGCCAAGCCCCGCAACCCCTCTAGCTCCCCTCAACTCCCTTGCAGCTGACCTCCCGAAATGTTCAGCCCTCAGTTTTACCCCAGGACTCTGCACTTTTGTGAGTCTAAAGCACCTTAGAGGCTTCTTAGGTAAACTACAAACCCTAAACCCTGAACCCAAAACCCTAAAACCCTAAAACCCTAAAACCCTAAAACCTAAACCCTAAACCCTAACCCCTAAACCTTCAGGCAAGGATTAGGGGTTCTTCAGGGTGCATGCCCAATTTGTCCTTGGCGATTGCCAAATCCAAGCATATACCATATACCCTATAGACCCTGTTAACCCTATGAACCCTACAAACTCTATACACCCTACAAACCGTACAAACCCCCCAAACCCAAAAATCCTAAACCCTAAACCGATTTGCACTCTATGGGGTTGAGGGGGCCCTGGGGGGTAAGCTGAGGCATACACCGACATGCTGACAACAAGCCGCTACTGGGCTGCGTCGCTGACCTCACCGGACCGCTCTTCGAAGACCTAAACCCTACCCGGGGAATTGTCGAGTCTGATTTTCTTGAGGGTCTTAGGGTTTAGGGTTTAGGGTTTAGGATATAGGGTTTAGGGTTTAGGGTTTAGGGTTTGCTTGGGGATGCAAAGGGTCCAAATCCCCCTGCCGCTGTTGTTTTTTTATGCTTAAGGATGCCTACAGTCTGTCGACCTTGAGGTTCAGGGTTTAGGGTTTAGGGTTTAGGGTTTAGGGTTATGCAGCTGTATCTCATGATTCGAATTCCCTACTCCATTTTGTAGTCAAGCTACACAAATACATAATGTGGTTTTGGGCTCTTGCGATCGACCCTACGATTTTTTTGAAATCCTGAATCCCAAGCCCCACCCTATTCCTAGCCACAGCATCTTCCGTGATTAATGAGAGCTTCTTTCCCTTGATCTGGAACTGGAAGCCATGGGGTAGGGGCTTCGATTCAGCAGGGTTTGGAGTTAGGGTATAGGGTTTAGGGTTGTTTAGGGTTTAGGGTTTAGGGTTCAGGGTCTCTGGCTTTAAGTTCAGGACCTTCCTCAGGCCATGGCAATTTCGGTCGATGTGCATCTGCTCAGTGGCAAGAGAGTTTCTCTCGAGACTCAGGAAGATGCACTGGTGGAAGAGTTGAAACAACACGCTCAGACTGTTCTGGCTAAGGGGCGGCTGGGCCAGCTCTTGAGTGCTGATGGCCAGGTACTGGATGCAGCACAGACTGTTAAGCGGGCAAGGATACAGACTGGTGATGAGCTATGCTTGCAAATACAGCTGCCAAAAGTCGCAGCTTCGTCGTGCTGGGAAGAATGGGCTGCTGCTTGTGCTGCGATTCTCGGTGATGGTTCTGTCGTAACCTGGGGCCATGCTGGTTCTGGTGGCGATAGCAGCTCAGTGCAAGCTCAGCTCAAGGGCGTGCTGCACATTCAAGCTTCTGAAAGTGCTTTTGCTGCTATCCGGCTTGACGGATCTGTGGTGACCTGGGGAGACAGAAGGCAAAGCGCCGGCATGCAAGATCAGCTGCAGCGCGTGCAGCACATCCAAGCTTCTCGATACGCCTTTGCCGCGATCCTCGGTGATGGATCGGTCGTGACCTGGGGCGATACTTTGTCTGGTGGCAACAGCAGTTCAGTGCAAGCTCAGCTGAGGGGCGTGCAGCACATTCAAGCTTCTGAACGTGCATTTGCCGCGATCCTCGGTGATGGATCGGTCGTGACCTGGGGCAATGCTGGTTGCGGTGGCCACAGCAATTCAGTGCAAGCTCAGCTGAAGGGCGTGCAGCACATCCAAGCTTCTAGATATGCTTTTGCTGCGATCCTCGGTGATGGGTCGGTCGTGACTTGGGGTGGAGCTTCTTCTGGTGGCGACAGCAGTTCAGTGCAAGCTCAGCTGAGGGGCGTGCAGCACATTCAAGCTTCTGAACGTGCATTTGCCGCGATCCTTGGTGATGGATCGGTCGTGACCTGGGGCCATGCTGGTTGCGGTGGCCACAGCAATTCAGTGCAAGCTCAGCTGAGGGGCGTGCAGCACATCCAAGCTTCTAGATATGCCTTTGCCGCGATCCTCGGTGATGGATCGGTCGTGACCTGGGGCGATACTTTGTCTGGTGGCGACAGCAGTTCAGTGCAAGCTCAGCTGAGGGGCGTGCAGCACATTCAAGCTTCTGAACGTGCATTTGCCGCGATCCTCGGTGATGGATCGGTCGTGACCTGGGGCAATGCTGGTTGCGGTGGCCACAGCAATTCAGTGCAAGCTCAGCTGAGGGGCGTGCAGCGCATTCACGCTTCTGAACACGCTTTTGCTGCGATCCTCGGTGATGGATCGGTCGTGACCTGGGGCAATGCTGGTTGCGGTGGCCACAGCAATTCAGTGCAAGCTCAGCTGAGGGGCGTGCAGCACATTCAAGCTTCTGAACGCGCTTTTGCTGCGATCCTCGGTGATGGGTCGGTCGTGACCTGGGGCGGAGCTTCTTCTGGTGGCGACATCAGTTCTGTGCAAGCTCAGCTGAGGGGCGTGCATCACGTTCAGCATAACGTCACAGCTGCTGCATCTGATGTTTGCGAACCAGGATCAGTTTGTGTTGTCCGTTCTAAAACCCTGAAACCGGGGACTCTGCACCTCCTAAACCCTAAAGCCCAAACCCCAAACCCCAAAGCTTGAGCGGGCCCAGGACTTGGGATTTGATAGGGTTTAGGGTTTAGGGTTTAGGGTTTAGGGTTTAGGGTTTAGGGCTAGGGTTTAGGGTTTAGGGTTTAGGGTTTAGGGTTTAGGGTTTAGGGTTTAGGGTTTAGGGTTTAGGGTTTCTTTCTTAACCACCTCCACCTTGGCTTTAGGTGGGTTTACCATTTAGGGAAGAGGCTTTCGGGTATAGGGTTTGGGGCTTAGGCCTGTGATGATGCATAACAGGGAGGATCTTAGCTGTGAGGTTTCACCCTAAACCGCAAACCCGAACCCCTAAACCCTAAAACCTAAACCCTAAACCCTAAACCCTAAACCCTAAACCCTAAACCCTAAACCCTAAACCCTAAACCCTAAACCCTAAACCCTAAACCCTAAACCCTAAACCCTAAACCCTAGCCCTAAACCGCGGATTGGGGGGGGGTGGGGGATGCCTCCCTTATGGCAACGGTCTCACCATGAAGCCCTTTATGTTAGGGTTTGCCACTAAACCCTAGTAAACCCTAAACCCTAACCCTAAACCGGAAAACCCTAAAAACTCAGCAGCAAATCGGCAGAGGAGGGCGAGGCGGGTCCCCGGCAAGTGGATCTCAACGCCGACGGCCTGGTGCCTAGAGCCTGTTTTAGGGTTTAGGGTTCAGAGTTTAGGGTTTTGGGTTTAGGAACAACCCTGAACCCTAAACCCTAAACCCAAGCTTTTGTCGACTATTCAACCGTAAGGTACCATGAAAACCATGGTCTTCCACCGGGGTCCTCGAGAAGTTGCAATTTGTATCCTTGACCCCTAAATCCTAAACCCTAAACCCTAAACCCTAAACGCCACACCCGAAACCCAAACCGATGCCCACAACCCTCCTAGCCCGAAACCCCGAGCGCTCCGAGCCCTCCTCGCCCTCCTTGCCCTAGCCCTAAACCCTAAACCCTAAACCCTAAACCCTAAACCCTAAACCCTAAACCCTAAACCCTAAGCCCTATAACCCTAAACCCTAAACCCCCCCCCCCCACACCCCAAGCCCTCCCCCAAGATACGGTGCAGGTGCATTGGGTCGCCGTGCATCCGGAGTATCAAGGCTCGGGCTCGGGGGGTTTTTCTGGCATAGCAAGGGTTTCGGAAGTAGGGTTTAGGGTTTAGGGTTTCGGGTTGAGGGCTTAGGGTTTAGGGCAGAGCCACCAATGCTTGCAGGGTCCATGCGAAAAGCAAAGTTTGCCCCAAAACTTTCGCCCAAAAACCCGCTCAAAGCTCCGGACACGAACCCTGGGCCCTAAACCCCCTACAGCCCTAAACACCCTTGAGCAACACTAAACAACACTAGAACCCTAAACCCTAACCCCAAAGCCCAAACCCAAAACCCCAAAACCCCATACAAACCCTAAACCCCGGGAGCCTCTTTACCTCGTCAGAAGCCCAGTCGGCCTGGACAACACGGAGAAAGCCACAAAATCAGCAACCAGACAGCAAACGGAACAGCAAATTGCGCAAAAGGTCGAACCTCAGGGTACTTCGGGTTTCGGTTCTAGGGTTTAGGGTTTAGGGCTACTTGGAGGTTCAGTGTACTTAGAAACCCACTTGTAGCTGTACTTATAGCCATACCCCTATTAGTACGGCTGTGCGAGGCATCCCTATAGTGCCCTCTTTCAGTACACCAAGCAGTGCCCATGCTCACAATGAGAACATAAGTGCGTTGCAGTGCTCAGAGAGCAGTCATATGACCTTGCAAATACAAAGCAGTCTAGGACGCCACGGCCCTAACCCCCCAACCGGAACCCTAAACTCTAAACCGAAAATTTTAGGCCCTAAACTATAATCCTAAACCCAAAGCCCTAAACCCTAAACCCTAAACCCTATACCCCAAACCCTAAACCTTAAGCCCTAAACCCTATACACCAAACACCAAACCCTAAACCGTAAACCCCAATCCCTAATCCCTAAACCCGAAACCCTAAACCCTAAACCCTAAACCCTAAACCCTACGCTCCCTAAAGCAGGCCGCGGCCTCTCCAAGCCCCTCCTGGCCGCGGTCCTCCAGGGCCTGGGCTCCGCCGGCCGGCGCCAGGGCGCGGGTTTTGGTGTTAGGGGTTCAGGGTTTAGGGTTTAGGGTTTAGGGTTTAGGGTTTAGGGTTTGGGGTTTGGGGTTCAGGGTTTATATGGTTTAGGGTTTAGGGCTTAGGGTCAGCGTTTCGAGTCATATTTCGGAGGTTCATGGCCTAGTGTGTTAGGGTTTACGGAGGGCTCAAGCCCAAACTTCCGCACGCCTCAACTCGCGTGGTTTAGGGTTTAGGGTTCAGGGTTTAGGGTTTAGGGTTTAGCGTTTAGGGTTTAGGGTTTAGGGTTTAAGGTTTACAATTAGGGTTTAGGGTTTGTGATTTAGGTTCATGTGGGGCTTTCTGAAATGAGGGGTACCTTATTGCAGTCCTTATTCTGACGGGAATCTTTCTATTTGGGTGGTCCATTTTAAGGGTCCCTGATGCTCGTAAGCTCCCATATAGAGCATGTAGAGTAGGATGCATGAATAGACATGCAAGAAACCCTGAACAATAAACCTTAAACCCAAACCGTTGGATGCCTGAACCCTAAACCACTAGGGATTATCGGGCTTAGAGTCTATAGACTTTTGGTTGGGGGTGTAGGTTTCAGGGTTTAGGGTTTAGGGTTTAGGGTTTAGGACCACCCCAAAAGCACAGAACCGCTGCCGAGGTGCTGTAAGACCGCCACGCTGGGAACAGGCTGCCGAGCCTGAATGCTGGTTCGGGTTTAGGTTTAGGGTTTAGGGTTTAGGGTTTAGGGTTTAGGGTTTAGGGTTTAGGGTTTAGGGTTTAGGGTTTAGGGTTTAGGGTTTAGGGTTTAGGGTTTAGGGTTTAGGGTGGGGTTCTCCACTAAACCCCAAAACCCCTCAAAACCTCAGCGCTCGAAGTTCGGAAGCCCGAAGCTCTAAACTCTTAAACTTTGTAACTTTGAACCCAAACCCTAAACCCTAAACCCTAAACCCTAAACCCTAAACCCTAAACCCTAAACCCTAAACCCTAAACCCTAAACCCTAAACCCTAAACCCTTTCGAGCGCTGAACCTCAAGTTGCTGTGGCGCCTGAAGCCCTGAACGTCTCTTCGATTCAAAGCGCTAGGCCTTCAAGCCTAAACTCCTCTCACTACTTCCAGACACCTCCCTCCTCCAAATCATAGCCGTTGAATCTATATCTGTATCTATATCTGTATCTATATCTGTATCTGTACCTGTATCTGTATCTTTATATATATATATATATGGGTATTTATTTATGCATATACATATACTTGCGTATACTCACATATAATAAAATATATACACCTTTCTACCATATGTATGTATATGTATACATGTTTCTATACCTTTCTGAAAAGATCCGCAAAACAAACCAAAGACCAAACTTCCCGAAGCCCTACCCCGCCCCCAGACAATTTGACAGCTCAGGCAGTGGTCGGCCCCAGGCGATCCCCTTGTACCTGTCCTTTGGCTTCGAGCCCATGGTCTTCGGCGCGGAGGCAAGGGTTGTTAGGAGGGTTTAGGGTTTAGGGTGCAGGGTTTGGGGTTTTTATGAGGGTTTTGAGTTCAGGCCGGAGGGGTACGTGTGCGGGTAGTTTGAGACACCGTACCGAAGGCCCAAACCGCAATCGTGGTTCTTTGGTAGGACCCAAGTCCACAACCTTGAGCCCTGAACCGTACCCATAAGCCCGACCTGTTACTTACGTGCGTTGGGCATCTGACTTTCCCTGTATACCCTTTAAGGAATGATGTCGGGTGCCCATTGCTCCTACTAAGACCCCTGGGAGGATCTAAAAAGTAGACCCTGTCAAGGGTTCCTAACGATGACCCAATAGTGTAGGGTACTATTTTGGGGGGTTCTACTTTTGGATCCTCCCAAGGAAAATTCATTAAAAACAAAAATATTTGGGATCCCTATATTATCCTTTTAACTTAAGCTACATTCCTGAATTAAGGGGCATTGGCAGCATTGGGCTCCTTGACTACTAAGACCAGTACTGAAATGAGCGGCAGTGGCTCGCAGCCAAGAGCATCCGGGTTTCGGGTTCATGGGCGTTTAGGGCTTACAAGGTTTACAGGGTTTAGGCTTTAGGGTTTAGGGTGTACAGGATTTAGGATTCAGGATCTGTGGCTCAGAGTTTGAAAAAGTGCTTTCTGATTTAGGGGTTATAGCTCGGACTCTTGGAAGGCCGGTGTGTTGGGAAGGCATGGCTGAAGACTCGCCCGCGAAGGAGGTGCACATTTGGCTGGCCTCGGGCGCGGAGTTGACAGTGTTGCCCTGGGAGGAGCTGAGCGACGTGCGGACCTTGAAAGCACAGCTTCAGGAGCTCTGCGGGCTGCCCCGCTTCAGGCAGAGGCTGCTGCACGAAGGCACCGTCCTCGCGGATGACGCAAAGCTCGGCACTTGGACTGACTTGCAGGTTGTGTTGCTGTCCTTTCTCCCTCCTGCTCCTGAGCAAGCGGATGCCCTGAAGTTTGCGGCGATGAATGGCCTGGTCCCCCAGGTGGAGGAGTTGCTACAGGGACCTACGGACCCAGACGCGAGCGGCGTCACGAATATCGCGCCAATCGTCGGTGCCGCCCTTGAGGGCCACGTGGACGTGGTGCGCCTGCTGCTGGAGGCGGATGCTGCACCAGACAGCGACGACCCCGATGCTTTCACGCCCTTGGCGGCTGCATGCTGTGGGGACTCCGGGGAGGAGTTGGTGCGTGCACTTTTGGAGGCCCGGGCCGACCCAGACAGGACCAGCGGCAGGGGGACGCCGCTTACCTGGGCAGTTTCTTGGTAGCCCAGTGGCACCCTTTACCCTTCTTGTGGTTCCGGGTTCCCTCAAAAAGGGTATATACCCTTATGAGAATTTGGTGACTGGGCTACGAAGGTTTACAACGGAGGTCAAGTCGATGTTGTGCGCCTGCTGCTGCAAGCCGGTGCCGACATAGAGAAGGTTGACGAAGATGGGTACGCGCCCCTTGCCGCGGCCGCTGAGCAAGAGTATTTTCCAGCGATGCAGTTGCTGTTACAGGCCCGCGCACACGCGGACGTGGTGTGCCCGACAGAAGGCAAAACGGCCCTGTGCTTGGCAGCTGAGCGGGGTGACTTCCGCGTGGTGCACCTGTTGTTATCCTGCGGCGCGGACGTGGACATGATCAGCCAAAGAGCAACTGGGACCAGAAGCAGGCCCTTATTCCCTTCTTCTTACTGGCTCAAAACCCAACTTTTCAACTTTTGGGCCTCTTATAAGGTAGTTTATTCTGAAAGTTTCAACTTTTATTTCCTTGTTTTTTGGGCCAGTAGGTCTTTTGGGGGTTTATAGGTTCTCTGAAAAGCCCCTTAACACCATGAAAACCACTTGTTTATTCCTAGGTTACTCCTGGGTCTAGGCAACCCCACTTACCTGGGCAGCCTGCGGAGGGGATCCCGCCGTTGTACTCATGTTACTTGAGCTGGGCGCCGACATGGACAAGGTTGACCCAGAAGGTTACACTCCTGTGACAGCAGCTGCTGACAGGAACCATGTAAAAGTGATGCGGCTGCTGCTGCGTGCAGGCGCCGACGTGGACGTGGTGTGCCCAAGGACCCACAAGACGCCTCTTTGCCTGGCTGCGGACAGTGGCCACCTGGCTATGGTCAAACTGCTGCTGGAGGCTGGTGCGGATAAGGACAAGATCAGTGACTCTGCATCACCACTTACGTGGGCAGCGTACGGAGGTCATTGGGGGGTGGTGCACACGTTGCTGCGGGCGGGTGCTGAAGCTGATGCTGACGAAGATGGGCTCACGCCTCTCATGGCCGCGGCCGATCAGCACCACGACGACGTCGTGCTTCTGCTTTCTTTGGGGGCCAGATGAACTCCGGAATGGGGACCATGTCAGTACCTTCTATACTGCTCCCATCCCTGTTCGGTGTGTGGACCCTACCCCGAAGATGCCCCTAAACCCTAAACCCTAAACCCTAAACCCTAAACCCTAAACCCTAAACCCTAAACCCTAAACCCTAAACCCTAAACCCTAAACCCTAAACCCTAAACCCTAAACCCTAAACCCTAAACCCTAAACCCAAACCCTCTTTCGGGTAGATGAACCACAAGCCCTTCTCGGGCTCATTGTCGGTCCCCAAGGATCCCAATCCAGAAGGTCTAAAGTGCCCGAGCGTCAAAACGCAGCTTGAAGTCTGTACTCTGTACTTCCCGGGGTTTTAGGGTTTCAGGGTTTTAGGGTTTTTTGGGTTTTAGGGTCTTGGGGTTTTTAGGGTTTTAGGGTTTTAGGGTTGAGGGTTTAGGGTGTAGGTTGTGGGAACTGCCCGGGTCCGTCCGGGTCCGCAATTGCTGATTGTTTTTTTTTGGTTCGGGGGGACTCTATATCGCACATTTGGACCGCTTGGCAGGTAGAGGACTTTTGGGGCATGTCTTTGGGGTTTAGCGTTGTTAGGGTTTCGGGGTTTGCCTCATGAGTGGATTCAGGGTTCCGGATTGTGGGCGTTCACTTGAAAACCCAAACTTTCAACATTACCACCCTAAACTGTGAACCTTAAACCCCGCGCGGGGGGGGGGGGGGGCAGAAACTAAGGGTATAGGGTTTAGGGTTTAGGGTTTAGGGTTTAGGGTGGGGTTCTGGTATCGCGGGTAAGAGGACAAACTCCCCCAAGAGCTGAAGGGGTTGCGAGTCTTGGGGTGTCCTTGCTGATGGGCCTGTAGGGCTTAGGTTGACTGAAGAGCTTGGCGTCTTCAAGCTCAGAAGGTCCTGTGCTTCACAGATAATCACCCTAAACCCTAAACCCTAAACCCTAAACCCTAAACCCTGAACTTCCCGAAACCATCCCTGCTTCTAGGGATGAAGGTTAAGGCACTTAGGAGGCCATGGTAGCACCTCAATCAGTTTTGCGGTTTATGCGTTCATGTCGGTTTAGGCTCCCTAAGCCTCTGAATTCCCGACAGCAAAGCCGGTTTGAGTTATGATTTTAGGGTTTTGGGTTTTGGGTTTAGAGTTTAAGGTTTATAGGGCTTAGGGTCTAGCGTCGAACATGTCAGCCTCCTCCGCACACCAAGAGCCCTAGGGTTTAGGATAAGCCCTCAACGTTGAACCGCGAGACCCCCAAACCCAAAGATATGTCTCAACCCCGCAATCCCCCATAGTACATCTCAACCCCCAAACCCTCGCAGCCCCTTTCCCCATAACCGCTTAACACCCAGAGCCCCTCCAACGCTTAATTGACGCCCTAACACCTAATCCCTAAGGGTCCATGTAGCTATCTGGCATGTTCCATGTTGGACCCTAAACCCTAAACCCTAAACCCTAAACCCTAAATTACACCCTCAACCCGAAACCCTTTTTATAAACCCTAAACCCTAAACCCCTTACCTTAAGATCCCTTTGCGCGGCAAGGACCTCAGGGCCTGGCGCGAGCTCCATCGCGCTGCTGCCGCGAGGGCGGCACTTGGCGAGGCCGGCGATCTGTGGTGGATGTTGTTACGGGTTTAGGGTTTAGGGTGCAGGGTCTATAGGGTTTAGAGGGTTTCTAGGGTTTATAGGGTTTATAGATGTTTATAGGGTTTATAGGGTTTATAGGGTTTAGGGTTTAAGGTATATACTTGGGCCTTAAAGGGGTTCCTATATAGTAGCTCTAGGGCCCAAGTTGATACTATATAGGCACCGTGGAGGTTTTGATGTGTAACGTTTATAAGTCGGGATGTTCCCCCGTATACTACTAGTCCTTGATAGGGATTATAATAGGAGGTACTAGAATCCCTATTAATTATATACAAGGACTGTGAGTAGAAGCGGGAAGATCCCCAGTTATGAGGGTTTGGGTTAGGGTTTTGGGGCTTTGGGGTTTCAAATCAGGCTAAATTTAGGTTGCCTCATGACTTGTCTGTTCGGCCTCGGCCCCGACAGGCAAAACAGCCAAGCCCCAGACCGGGTGCGAGGGGAGTTCGGTTTCCTGCCGCGGGACATGAGCACCTGCCAGCTGTGGCGGGAAGCGTCCAATTCATGGGAAGCGGCGTTAAGGCGTTAAGCACGTCACGATCGCGAGTGACGAGTCTTGCTTGCCTTTCTGTGTTTGATGCCATACCCGCGCGTGCAAGCAAGCAGGCACGCATGCGCATTCGCATGCGCATGCGCGCGAACACTCGCGAGTGCTTGTATATGTTTGCGCGTTCCATTCACTCACGTGCTCCATCACTCTGCTCCATGTTTACCTAAAGGCTCCTGTGTAGTTCCATTTCTGGGGTAGTATACTAAAGTCCCCTATACTTTGCCCAAGAGGAACTACATAGGAGCCTTTGGGTAAGTCCCTGGCCTTGGCGGCTGAGAGGGCGAGGGCTTATGAAGGCCAGTGTGCGCACTTGTGTTAGTAAGCTTGAAGTGGGAGATGCCAACCCTAAACCCTAAACCCTAAACCCTAAACTGGCTTAGGGGTTCAGGCTCGAACGTTGTGCGGATCGCGCCTTACGGTGCTGTTCTCCCAGATGTGAGGTGCTGTGGTGCGACTTTCTTCCAACCCTACCCTACACCTAAGCCCCAAGCCTGCATAAGGGTTTAGGTTTAGGGTTTAGGGTTTAGTGTTTAGGGATCCCCTATGCTGTGCTGTTTTGGGGTAGCATAGTACAATCCCTTAGCACTAACCCAGAAAGGAACGATTTTTTTGCTTCAGGGAAACCTAAACCCTCTAAACCCTAAACCCTAGACCCTAAGGTTGCTCGCAGCTACAGTGATGTGGACTCCGTGCGACCTTGGGATTTAGGGTTTAGGGTTTCGGGTTTCGGGCTTAGGGGATCTTATTCCGGAAGACATCCCGAGGGTCTGAAGGCCGAACCTCGCAGGGTTCTTCCGAGCAATGGAAGGACTTGAGGGAAGACCTACTGCGGGATCTAAAGTCTCTTCATAAGACTAAGGCGCTAAACCCAAAAGCCCGAAAACCCAAACGCGAAGTTTGGAGCCATTCACTGAACCTTAAACCCTAAACCCTAAACCCGAAATCCCTAAAACCTAAGCCCGAAGCCCGGAGCCCGGAGCCCGGAGCCCTAAACCCTAAACCCTAAACCTTAAACCCTAAACCCCCACTTCAAGGGCTGTCGGGAGTTCTGGCCAGGCAGCAGACGTCGACGAGCGCACGCGGCGGGGCGACCGAGTTCTGGTGGACAAGGGATGACCCTAAACCCTAAACCCTAAACCCTAAACCCTAAACCCTAAACCCTAAACCCTAAACCCTAAACCCTAAACCCTAAACCCACCTTAAGGGTCCAAGGTAGCAACCCCTCGAGGTGGACAAGCTGCGGCTCGTTTCCGAGACTGACGTGGGCCGCCTCTTGGGTGTCACGGAGGGCTCTGAAGCTCTGAAACCCTAAGCCCTAAACCCTAAACCCTGAAGATTGGCTTAGGGGGTTTAGAGTTTAGGGTTTAGGGGGATTTAGGGGTTAAGGAATCAGGGTCTAAGGCACGCAGGTCTATGTAAGGGTAGGGTTTAGGGTTTATACGGGCCAGCATAGGCGCACCCCCACCTGACCCCTCCCCCCCCATGCTCTCCCCCCCCCTGTGGTTCATGGTGGGTTTTGGCTCCCCCCCCCTCTGTGGTTCATGGTCTGTGGTTCGTGGGTTTAGGGTTGAGGGGTTTAGGGGTTTAGGGTTAGGCTGTAGAGTTCAGGACTTTGCTCTGGTCCGTTGGTTCACTGTGAGTTTAGAGTTCAATTAGGGTTCAAGGTTTGGGGTAATGGTAGGTTTACGGTTTTCCCCTCTCCCCTCTGTGGTTCGTGCTGGGTTTACGGTTGAGGGTTCAGGGTTAAAGCGGCTAAGGTTTCGGGTTTACCCTTGTATAGGTTAATAAGGGGGAACATCCCAACACCCCTAAAACTAGAACAGCCTTAAAAGCCCCAACAAACCCAAAACTCGAAACCTTGAAGCCAAAAAACCTTCCAAGAGCACTGGGCCCTGACACCCCACCAAACCCTAAACCCTAGCCCTAAACCCTAAACCCTCAACTTTCAGGAGGCTTTCGGATGCTTAGCGCTCCGACATTTCTGTGCGACCTCTGGCCACAAGCAGTCCGCAAGCGCAGAGAAGAAAGGAACTGTATGGGATTGAGGGTTTAGGGTTTAGGATTTGGGGATTTGTTTGCGGGTAGTTAAATGGGCCCTTAATATGGTCCCTTACCTCCTGTAAGTGGGTTCTGAAGTATGGGCCCTTGGGTTTTAGATGGTATACAATGGGCTGATAAGGGGTCCCCTTTGAAGGGCTCATATGAAGGGACCATGTCACTACCCCAAGAGTTACATGAAACCTGGTTTAGGGTTTAGGGTTTAGGGCTTAGGGACCCTGATCCCCCCCCCTAACGACAAACCTTATAACAAAATGCACCTCCAATAGCAGGATCACCTTGTAGTAATAAGGACCTCAATAACGTACCCTAATATCGTAAACCCGCATATCACTTCGCACTACTTGGAGGTTCAGGGTACTTAGTAACCCACTGTAAGTGTAGCATTAACCCACATATAAGCCCCTTAAGGTACAGGTATAATTCCCTAAACCTTAAACCCTAAACCCTAACTCCACAACCCTAAACCCTAATTGGGTTTCTAAGTACCATGAACCTCCAAGTACAAGTGTATGTAGGTCACACGTATCCCCAGAACTCAGCCAAGGCCCAGGATGTGAGAAGGCATCGCAAGCTAAGCTTCTCCGCGAGAATTTCGGGTTTAGGGTTTATCTATAGGGTTTAGGGTTTAGGGTTTAGGGTTTAGGGTTTGGGGTTTAGGGTTTCGGGTTTAGGGTTTAGGGTTTAGGGTTTACCTTCGGAGAACTTCGAAAGCATGTGTTTCAAGCTGTTTAGGGTGAGTGGGTTGTAATTAGGCTGTTGCTTACAAGCTCCCTTCTTTGCGGAGGTGGCTCAAACCCTACGGAGGTGGCTGAAACCCTAAAACCTGTACCTTCAACTTCAAAACGGGGACTGCGAACCTTGTAGGCTGCATAGAACATCAGCCAGCAAAGACGAATGAAAGCCCTGCAAATCCGGGCCCTTCCGAACTGAACCCCCAAACCCTACAACACACCCCATGAAAGCGAGAAACACACTCTGAACAATTAAAAGGAAAAAAAAAACAACTCTCCTGAACTCCGAAAATGCTGATTCAAACCTAGTAGATACAAAAACGACAATGACCACAAACCTCTAAACTCTCTTAAGCAATGGCGAAAGATGGCAAAAAACACGCACACGACCACCCTAAACCCTTAACCCGAAACCCTAAACCCTCAACCCTCAGCCCTCAACCCTAAACCCTAAACCCTAAACCCTAAACCCTAAACCCTAAACCCTAAACCCTAAACCCTAAACCCTAAACCTTAAACCTTAAACCCTAAACCCTAAACCCTAAACCCTAAACCCGAACCCTAAACCCTAAAGGCCTAAGGCCCTAAAGGCCTAAGGCCCTAAACCCTAAACGCACGTGCCAGGTGTGCGCGGACCGCACTTTTTATGCCCACCGGATTGTGCTGGCGGCTGAAAGTGAGGCCATGGGCCGCTGTTTGTTCAGGGTTTAGGGTTTAGGGTTTAGGGTTTAGGGTTTAGGGCTAGGGTTTAGGGTTCAGGGTTCAGGGTTCAGGGTTCAGGGTTCAGGGTTCAGGGTTTAGGGTTTAGGGTTTAGGGTTTAGGGTTTAGGGTTTAGGGTTTAGGGTTTAGGGCAAGGGTTTAGGGTTTAGGGTTTAGGGTTTAGGGTTTAGGGTTTAGGGTTTAGGGTTTAGGGTTTAGGGTTTAGGGTTTAGGGTTTAGGGTTTAGGGTTTAGGGTTTAGGGTTTAGGGTTTAGGGTTTAGGGTTTTATGTTTTATGGTTTAGGGCTAGGGTGTAGGGTTTAGGGTTTAGGGCCCCTTATTGCAACCCCCTACTGAGGACTGTTCGTATAAGGGGGGAATATCCCCGAAGCTTAGGGTTGTATAGGGTCCCTGTAAGGTTCCCCCCCCCCCCCCCCCCCCCCCCGCCCCCGCAGAAACCTAGCCTTCCCCTTCCCTCATTCCCTACTATACTAAGAACCAGGGAGATAAGCCTTATAGAACCACCCTAACCCGAAACCCTACTCCCTAAACCTCGAAGCCCTTTTGAAACCCCACATCGAAGGTATTCAAAAGTGGTCTTGCCAGCGTCTCGAAGGAGGTGATCGACGGAAGGCGGTTCCAGGTTTAGGGTTTTGTCGGGTTTTGCTAGGGTTTTTAGAGGGTTTAAGGTTTAGGGTTTGAGGGTTTAGAGGGGTGTGAAAAGGTTTGCAGGGTTTCCAGGGTTTATAGGCTTACGCGGTTTGTATTGTTTTTGTTGAAGGGTTTATAGGGCTTAACCCTGAAAGGGTTTTTCAGGGTCTTTACCGGGTTTTCCAGGTTCTTTCAGGGTTTAAGAAGGCTTTATGGGTTTATGGGGGGTAAAGGAGAGCTTCGGGTTGAGGGTTTAGGCTTCGGGGTCTAAGTAGTTGGGGAGTTTGTCAGCCCTTGTCGAGGATGATGTTGGTATAGGGGGAGGGGGTCGAGGATGGTCGGGCAAAAACAAATCGACGTCCTCTACCAGCTAAGGGGTAGAGGGTCTGGGGAGGGGTGGTAGGGGCAGTGCGTCGGGTTTGCCGGCGAGGGGGTACAGGGAGGGCGCCGAAAATGCTGCGGCCAAACGGGACTCGCAATTTCTATGGGCGGACGCCAAATTACCATGTATGTAAAATATGATGGAAGTGCGATATGAAGTTCCGCTCTTGCTGGTTTATGTCTTCGCCACAAGGCGGCACCATGCGTATGTGCAGGTTTCAGGCTCTTCCCCATGTATACGTGCTAGGATAGCGCTAGCGTGGCGCTAGGTGTTCCTTCCCAAAGGCTAACATTTTAGGGTTTGGCGTGTAGGTTTTAGGGTTTAGAGTGATCCAGCTTCGGGAAGCTTAAGTAGTATAGGCGGCCTGCGGCTTAGGTAAGACTGTGGAACATTGGGTTACACACCCTGAACCCTACACCCTAAACCCTGTGGTCCCTAAACCCTGTGGTTGCTCCTGATGCATACTGCCGGCGTGCCAAAGTTCTAAAGTCGTAATATGCGCTAGGTTGGCGCTAGCATCGCGCTAGCAAATATGAAGGGAAACTGCTTGCGGTGGCCACTTGCCCATCCAAGACATAAAGCAGTACTAAGACAGCTGATTTCAAACATGGCCAACCTGGAAGAGCAAAGCACTACTAGCTCGAGCTCAAGTAGCTCCAATAGTTCCGATGACGATGCCTGAGTCTTAAAATGGCGGTGCTAGTGTGTTTTGCGAGATTTTTGCATAGGGAGCAAGAATTAGTACTACACTTCTGTACTTGCCAAAGCCATCGTTCCAGACCTTCGTTTTGCTTCTCGTCATAAGGCGGCACCATGATTTGTTCAGCATCCGCCGTTCCTGGAAGAAGGAATATTGACAGCCACCCAAATGAAAAACTGAGAAACTCTAGCAAACCCCCTAAACCTCGAACCCTAAACCCCTAAAACCCTAAACCCTAAATCCCTGAAGATGGCCAGGCAAGAGCTCCGCCTGGCCGAGGTCTCAAATCCGGAGGCAGCAGGGCCTCCTCCTGAGTTTAGGGTTAGGGTTTAGGGTTTAGGGTTTAGAGTTTAAGGTTTAGGGTTTATAGGTTTTAGGGTTTGGGGTTTTGGGGTTTAGGGTTTCGGGTTTAGGGTCTAGGATTTAGGGTTTAGAAGGTTTAGGGTTTAGAAGGTGTAAAGTCTAGGGTTTAAACAGTTTTAGGGCTAATATATACATACATATCTATACATATATATATATATATATATTAAGATTTAGGGTTTACATGGTTGTCTTGGTTTATAAGGTGTAGGGCTAACATTCACTAATGTTTCGGGTTCGCAAGGTTTAGGGTCTAAGTGTTTTTTCGGTAGGGTTTTGAGTTTATACTATAAGGCTTAGGGGCTTATGGGCTTAGGGTTAAGGGCTTAAGGTATGGGATTGGGGTTGACAATATAGATAAGGGGTTTATGAGGCTTACAATAAGGTTTAAGGCAATTCGGGCTTTTAAAATTTTTGGGTTCCGGAATCCCTAAACCCTAAACCCTAAACTCTATATCCTAAACCCTAAACCCTAAACCCTAAACCCTAAATCCTAAACCCTAAACCCTACCCATCGGAGCCTGAGAGTCCCCGGATGCCGCGAGGCGGTGAAGTTCATGCTGGACTACATGTACCAGACGGACGCCTCTGTGCACCCGACTTAGCTCCCAGAGATTCAAAATGTCCTGTTTTCCTTTTTTGCCTTAGGGTTTAGGGTTTAGGGTTTAGGGTTTAGGGCTTAGCGTTCGGGCTAGGGTGCTTTGGGGTTGAGTGTTTGGCCTAA